CTGTCAATGTACGCGGACGTACAACATAAAACCTGGGACGAGATTCTTCCATACATCACGTTTGCTTATAATACGGCAACGCAAGAAACAACGCGATTTCCGCCTTTCCGACTTGTTTACGGACGCAACGTGCGAACCATGCTCGATGCTATGCTTCCGTGCGACCAAAGCAATGAACTTGCTCAAGATGCTGATCAATACACTCAATACGCCGAAGAAGCCCGTCAGCTAGCTCGCATAAACACCAGTCACCGACAAGATGCAGACGCACGACGTTACAACCTCCGCCATCGAAATGTCACCTACCACCCTGGGGACCGAGTGTGGGTGTGGATCCCTGTCCGGCGACCAGGCTTATCCGAAAAACTCCTAAGCCGTTATTTTGGACCGTACAAGGTTCTTAGACGAATCACAGATCTTACCTACGAGGTATTTCCGGACGGCGCAGCGTCTTCTCGTTGACAGCTTCGGCCCGAAACCGTGCATGTCCTTCGGCTAAAGCCCTACTTCACACAGTAGCCCTTGCGGCTTCACGTGCTACGACATGCCGTGACATTGTGTTGCTGCTGCTGTTTGTGTTCTCCTGTGTTTTTATGCCCTTTCTTTTTGCGCTTGGCGGAAGCGTTGGCGAAACTTCCTCATTTGCGCTGCGAGTAGTGGCACTCTCTCTCTTTTGGTTCTCTATATCTGCGTGTGTATACCTTCATTTTTCTTTATTTACGAGCATCGAGTCGATGCTTTCAAAGGGGGGGACTATTACCACATGGTTTGCTTGGGTGAGATCGAAGAGTGAAAGAAGACAAAGACGATCTCTCTGAGCCGCTGCTTGAGTAGTCGACTAAACGAGCCCATTTTTTATCAAGTTTGTCGAGAGTAACGTGACAATATAATGTTCAATATGAAAGTTGACCAACCTGCAAAGAGTGCAGACAGTAGATTAGCGTGCGTCCTTTCGCCGTCGCAGCTGCTGCCTGAGCGAAGCCAATTGCAAAGAGACAACGCCGCCAGCACAAACTTCATAACAGCTTGAAACTGCAGCAGGCTGAGGTAGATGGCGGTTTCGGTAGCGCTGTCCAGGTCCTGGTAATGGTAAAGCCACAGCAACACAATCGTATAAACTGTGTGGCACTCAGCTATGGTGGCAGTAAACGACTCCGGATGGCATGGCTTACACTTTTCTTGACTATATGCCGGTATCTGCAAAGAGTGCAGACAGTAGGTTAGCGTGCGTCCTTTCGCCGTCGCAGCTGCTGCCTGAGTGAAGCCAATTGCAAAGAGACAACGCCCCCAGCACAAACTTAATAACAGCTTGAAACTGCAGCAGACTGAGGTAGATGGCGGTTTCGGTAGCGCTGTCCAGGTCACTTTTCTTGACATGCCGGTATCTGCAAAGAGTGCAGACAGTAGGTTAGCGTGCGTCCTTTCGCCGTCGCCGCCTGAGTGTTATTAAAGTTTGTTAGTAAACGTGACGCCTAAGTATTTATATTGATCAACCTTGGTTATTATGGTGTCGTTAAGAACGTAACAAAATATGCTAGGTTACTCGCATCAAAACTGTTTTTTGTACATTTATTTATATTCCGCAAAGTCTACACCACTCTGAAACAGCTATGACTGATTGCTGCAAGCTTTGGTGATCATTCTGCGAGGTAACTTCTTTAAATATGACACAGTCATCCGCAAATAAATTTACATGCACTTCACTAGAGAGTTTTTCCGAGATATCATTTATATAGATCAAGAATAGGAGTGGTCCAAGTACGCTGTCTAGCGGCACGCCCCGAGGTTGCATGGCGCGCACCGGACGAGCATTGCTTAATTTCTACGAACTGTTGCCTGTGCCGTAGGTATACCTGGATCCATGATATAATGTTTGAAGGAAGACCAATGCACTCAAGCTTGTAGATTAATTATCCGTGAGGCACCCTATTGAAGGCTTTACTGAAATCGAAAAATAGCATGTCGGCTTGTCCGGACGAGTCAAGTACCTCAGAGATATCATGAACAACTGACACAAGCTGAGTTTTAGTCGATAACCCCTTTCAAAATCCATGCTGTTGTTGAGAGAGGACCTTGTGATCACTCAAATACTGGTGAATAAAACTTGCCACAATGTGTTCTAATAATTTACTACAAGTACTTGTAATAAAAACTGGTCGATAATTAGAAACTGCAAGAAGTCTCCCTTTTTATAAATTGCGACAACTCTGGCTTTGCGCCAGTCGGACAGAATATTCTCTAAGCGTAAACTTAACTTGAAAAATTCTGTTAAAAAGACACAAATCTGTTCCGCGTAACGTCGTAAAAAACCATTCGGTATACCGCCAGGGCCTGAAGATTTACGTACATCAAGATTAAGAAGCATTTCCAAAACACCTTGTCGAGAAATTTTAATCTCGTGCACTACAGGTTTTGCATTGCTTAGTTCATAACAGCCTAATTCAGAAAACACACTCCAGATGTAATCATTGAAATGTTCTGCAATTTCTTGAGGGTCTTTTATAATTTTACCATTAATGTTTATTTTTTGTGCGGCTTTTTTTGACTGACCTAGGTAGCGCCAAAACTTTTGGGGAGAGTTTATAATAAAATCAGGAAAGCTATGATTGAAAAATCTATCTTGCGCCTTTTCCACTTTAGCCAGCAAATTATTTTTTTAATTTCACACAGCATATCCGACTTTTGAACCACAGCTTTATTCATGTCTGTCTACGACACGATTTCCACTAGACTTGCAGGCCGCCTGGATTGTCTAGGCTATAACTGCTATCAGCAGAAGCTTGCCCAGCTACCCGTCTTTTATTATTATTAATAATATTTTATTGTTGTTGTTATTATTATTGGTGATGCAACAGTAAACATCCTCAGCTACACACTTATTGCTGGTGTTTCAAGAATAACACTTGGGTAACTTCAGCTAAATTTTTTATTTTGGTTTTCTGAGATTGTGTAAATAAATCTGCAATTATTTCTCAGCATCACCTCCACAGCAGAGTGCTGAAATCAAGCTATTGTGCCGACATTCGTGATTCTTCTGTGGAGTCAAGGAAGCTGTTGCACCTTGACAGATTCATTCTTGCAACCACATATTCAAACGTCGGCATAGAGCACTGCATGGGCTGATTTTCCCTGCCCGGCCCGAAAAATCCATGCGCAGGCCCACTCAAGCCCGGCCCGGGGTTTTAAATACGGCCCGTACCCGGGTACGGGCTTGGGGTTTTTAAATATGGCCCGTACCCGGCCCAAGCACGAAAAGTTTGGGCCCGGCCCGTTTTTGCCAAATATACCTTCAGCATAAATGAAGCACTGTTCAATCTTCAATTATTGAGTAAATACCTGCAGCACACAAGAAACTTCTAAAAAGTGCTCTGAGAATTTCTTTAAGGGCCACAACTTTACCCATTTCTGTGTATATTTCTGGTTAACTATGCCTGTAACACTTCTGGGAAATAATTTTAGAACAACGAAAAATGAAATTGGAGTCATAGCTGACTTTTTCATCTACACAGTGCTAACCGGGCTACGTTATTTCTGCAACTTAGAAGTGTGGCAGTTTGGGCTAGTTGGTAAGACATGACGATAGTTATAGCGTTAAAACAGAATGACGACAAAGAGACAAGAAGGACACGGACAAAGAGACAAGAAGGACACGAGCGCGGACAAAGAGACAAGAAGGACACGAGCGCTCGTGTCCTTCTTGTCTCTTTGTCGTCGTTCTGTTCTCGCGCTATAACTATTGTTATTTTTGCATTTCAAAGAAAGACTGCAAAGTATAATATTCTCAAAGTGAAAAAAGTGCCATACATTTATACTACGACTCTATATAAAGTGCATATGAGCTGTGGCTATTGAGTCATGTAGCAACTTTTCTGCAAATTCCGTTGACTGAAACAGAATGAAAAAAAAAAAAACATGCCACTCGCATCTTCCCAGTGAGAGAACTCAAGTAAATGCATCGCAGAGTGGCAGGGGGGGGGGGGGGGTATCATGTGAATGTTGCATAATTGGGTATGATTTGGGAATGCTTAATTGTTCATCATCATCACCATCCAGACTACTCCCACTGCTGAACTAAGGCCTCTTCTATGATCCGCCAATCAACTCGGTCTTGCGCTTTCTGCTGCCACGTAATACCTGCGAACTTTTTACTCACTTTCTGTCTTCCCTTCGTGCATTTGCCTTCTCTGGAAATCTAGTCAGTCACCTTAATGACCAGCGGTTATCCTGCTTACTTGCTACATGCCCGGTCCACGTCCGTTTGTCCTCTTTATTTCGTCTTTATTATTATTTTTATAGAATAAAGGAGAATTGTTGCCTTCAACGTCAAGCGAAAGCCAAGGTGCCCTTGACTAAAATCCAAACGCGTGATCCAGAGGGCGAGCAGTTCTTTTTTTACTAGCAGATGCTGCCTGCATCGGCCTTGTGAGGCGAGACAGGGAGAGGGAAGCGACAGTTTTACGGGCATCTTCTTAGGCCGGCACGTGACGCGAGCCGTCGCCGAAGAGAGACATCGTGCGAGTACGCGCTTTAGCTGCTTCTGGCAGGAAAACAACAGGCTGGTAAGGGGGGGGGGGGGGAATTTTTCCTGTAGAGGTTAAAAAAACTATGTAGGGTTACATTGACAGGATGTAAGAATAGACTTGCTGGTGGTGATACATTATGAAACGTGTGACGTACAAAAAAGACAATAAGAAAGATGACTTGACGATGTGCTGTCCTGCACATCGTTCTGTTGTCCTTTTTAGTCCACGTCTCTGTCATGCACCACACGTTTTTCACAATGCAAGGGTTAAACATTTTCTTTTCCTTTGTTTGCGAGTGGAAAATTGCTTTCTAACTGGTTTTTCATCACTTCTAGAAATGAATTTGTCCCCAATCGCTTTTATTTCTGTCGTCTTGAATTTTAAATGTACTGTATCGGGTAGTGAGAGTGACACCTTTTTATTTTTAAGGTGGCACTGCCCTTTTGGGTATTTATTGCTCTGTCCTTTTTTTTGCAGGTTCTCTATGTAAAGCATTCACAATGCTTATGTGCAAGGCCTTCAAGGTATGTGGCCAAAGGACGACCTGCGGAAACTGTGCACTCATTCAGTGCTGTGATTTTCAGAGCAAAGTTCACCTTTGCCCTGAAAATCACAGCGCTGAAAATCTTCAAGTTTGAGAAACTGAAGCAGCAGACAGCTCCAAGACATAATTTGTGCAAGTCGCATTTAGAAGAGCTGCAAACAACAAAAGAAAAATAAGAATAAAAGGTGTATCCCCAGTGTTTATGTACTTTAATTACAACCATTTAAAACTTGGTGAATCGGTGGCACTGCAGAGAGCCGATGAATGCTTGTCAAACTGTGGAAATACAAAAAGAAGCATATGATGTTACCACACGCATGATCACTGCTTCTTTCCTTTGCCCCCCAAAAGAACGTGGTACAGCAAACCGTACTGAGGACGTAGCAGACGTTAAACATAAAAATTTGCTTGCTTAAAACAAGTCGCTCTTATTGAACTTTGCTCAATAAATTTTCTTTGTGCGCCCCTCCAAACAAGTGCAAGCAAGAAATTTTAATTTGACTGCATCACCGAAGTGCCTAAACATAAATAGTTTATTTAAATTATACTTGCAATGCCAAACATTGTACAGAGAGGAGTGGTTAATACATTATGTTATAGAATGTTATGCAAGATCAATTGAAAAGATTAATGGTTTGACATGTTAGCAACTGAGCGGAAAAGGTGGTTCTATAGGCGAGGTGTAAACTCGCAAAGGCTTATGGGATACACGCAGTCTGCACTGGCTTCCAGTTTAATGGCTCTCCGTCCGTCTGCTGCGTCCCTCCTTGGGTATCAATGTGCTCTTTTTCTTCATAACTGTGAATTTCTAGAGCACATTAGCATAGCCGCACCTACGACTGACCACGAAAAGAAACCATGTGCTGTCGTGAAATATTTTCGAGTGGTGAACAACAGACTGTACATGCTATCACGATTCTGCGTTTCTTCGGAATAATAAGTGGCCTGGACTGGGCTGTCACATCTTTAGATTATTTTACACTTGTATATTAATGCAGGGTGTCCATTAACATGCTTATTTTTTACGTGTTTCCATCTTTGAGGGTGCTCAGCTGCTTTTGCATTCGTAGTTGCACCACAGCTCGTATCAATATTCATCGTGTGAAAGGCGTATGCTTTATTACTGAAACTACGCGTTCAATGGCAACAGCCTGATAAACTGTTCAATCGTTCGTTCGTGATGACCTCGACTATAATACAGCACTGACAAAGCTTTAAAAAGCTAAATATGTTGGCGGCAACTTTTTTTAGCAAAGTCGAGCTTGTTTAGCGTTTACGTATTGCACCGTGTCGGTAAATAAGCTGGCCAAGACGACACTCACTTCGTAGTCAGGCGCCGTGCTTGTTAAGCGTAGTTGCCTGTTCTGCTTAATGTGCACTGGGCTTGGAAAAACACTTGAAATTAACAGCAACATGTTGCATAGCCGTTCTATAAGTAGAACAGTATTTTCTTGCCTACATAATGTTACTGACATCATTTTCTCCTACTGGTGCGAGGTCGTCGTCGCCGTCAGAACCACTGACTGATTGCATATGCATCGCTGCAGTTGATGTCATTGAGATTCCGCAGCGTGAGCGCTGGCTTGATGTCGTTCGGCTGCTGTGTCACGCATTTTTCGGAATCAGGATCAGAGCTGCCTGGACGTTACGTGGCGGCCGTGCGTTTTAGCGTAAACGCCATAAGCTTGTAGTAGATGCGTATATAGTGATTGTGGTAGTGCTGATGAAAAACTACACATTCAAATGCCTTTCGTGCTTACCTCTTGATGCTCCAGTTCCTCTTTTGTGATGCCAAAATGTTGACAGCACGTAGTCAACCTACCGTGAATTTTTGCTGGGAGCGCCTGTACGTAAATACCGAATGTCTCACACAAACAAAACCATTCATGCAGGATTTGGGACAAATATCACCCACCTGACGTTAGGCATCCGAAAGATATACCACTTACCGTGGCTGTCCTTATTACCACAAAACCCACTTGCATATTTTCTCTTCATTCTGAGAAAATTGTGGGGATCTGAGGCGCGCCCGCGACCATTTCGCGGGCATTCCGCCACACGGCCACACCCTTTTGCTTTCCTGCTCTGTTAACACCACGTGGCGATAGATGGCGCCACGTGCGGGCACGGCACGCGGTACGCGCGCGCCGAGGGAGCGCTCTCTTCTCCGTGGTCGGCGCCGGGTAAGCACGTGTTTTCCTTCGTCCGCGTCCCCTTTGGGACTCGCGGACTGTAGCCTGCCTGGGGTGACCTTGGGAACCCTGGCAGGCGTGTTTATTTGAGTGCTGGCTTCGGTAGCGTACGCTAAGCCCAGAGCGGTGCCTAGTGCTTGAAGTGGTCGTACCACAACGAGCCGCACTTGCCGTAAGCCTACGCGTACGAGGTTTGCCCTAACACTCGCGACCAGGCCCATTGACCATCGTGAGAGTGCGCAGCATAGCCGCGAGGGACCTTTCCCTGACCGGTGTGTGAAAGCTCGCCATTGCCAGCTGCGACGTGCTCGTGGTTTTCCCCTTGTTGTGAACGTCCGCGTGCGTGTGCCTTTGCTGCCCGCGTCCCGGGAGCGGACGTTGTACTGTTGTGCGGGGTGCCGCCAGATGCAATAAAGTGTTGTGTATTTGTGCATTAGAACAATGTCTATTTGCCGCGCCGCGCTAAACGCCTTATTAGTTGAGCGCGCGCGGAGCGGTGCGCTACACGCGAGTAAACGGAGTAGCGGCCCTGTGGCTCGTTAACCGTGAACCCGCGGTGATCGTCCGCTGCAGTTAGAGCGGGGTCGCAACACTGGTGCCCAACGTGGTATCAAAGGCTCATTAAGCCTTTCATTAGTCTTAGCCGAGTCAGCCCGCCTTGGCGAATCAGACTCGCCGCGTTTACGCGCGTTATGTCTGCTCCGCGTGAGTTCTGTCCGCTGACGCTTTTAGCAGATACCGCATTGCTCGAGAACAGGGCCAGTGCCCCCCTTGTGCATCACAATCGCGCACCCTCACTTGTCACAAGCCCCAGTCGGGATGACACGAGGCGCTACGTATCAGCTCCCACTGGAGAGGTAGCGTGTTTTGGGTCCGGGGCCATAGCCCAACCCGAACAGTGCACAAGGGCAAATTGGACTACTACTGCTCCCTTTGGAATGCATGGCAGTTCCATGTCACAGCGCTCCGAAACGGCTCTTATTGGAGCTCAAATTTTCCTGCAGTCTTTCCTTTATAATCTGCATCGCCAGCCTCTAGACCACTGATGTCACTGTTATAGGACGGTAGTTGTTTATGTCAGCTTTGTCTCCTTTTCCTTTATAGATCATGCTCATCCTGCCAAGTTTCCATCCATCGGGAACTTCACCATCGATTATTATTTTGCTCACTGCCTCTCTCAAAGCCTGCTTAGACTTCGGACCTAATGTCTTTATCAGCCTAATTGGAATGCCATCTGGGCCTGTTGATGTACTACTAGGAACCCTTTTCTCAGCCTTTTCCCACTCTCGTTGTGAAAATGAAGCCATCGCACCACTTGATTCGTCCTTGTCTATTGTGGTGCATAAAGTACTTCTTTGTTGAAATTTTTCTGTCACCTTTGCTCTTATATATTCAATAGCTTCGTCCCCTTCTAGCCTGGCACCTTGGGCTGTAGTTATAAAACTCTGCTCTAGGCTCGTCTCATTTCTTAGGGAGTTTAGATGGTTCCAAAATTTCGCGGCTGCCTTTCTATCTTTTTATGTACTTCTTCCAGCCACTGAGCTCCCTTTCTTCTAATCTTTTCATTGATCAGAAGGGATGCAGCCCTTCTACAGCTTAGAAAGGTTTCCTATTTTTTTTTTCAACATCGTCTGTCGGTTCACCCCGCTGCTTAGCATGTCTGTGTTCCCTAGAGGCTTCCTGACGTTTTGCTATGGCTCTCTTAACTTCCTCATCCCACCAAATTTTGGATTTGTGTCTTCTTTTCCGGGGTGACTTGTTACGCGTCTTAGCAAGCTCTAGCTCAAAGAGTCTAATTAGATTCATGTATGTCTACATTGTCGTATTATCCTCCGTGATTACTTTCTCAATTTGTTTAGTGGCTATTTCAATGTGCCTTTCTGAATAAAACTTTTTCCTGTAGTTGCTCATCTTGTCTCCTTCCCACTTTCACTGCTCTTCCAAAACTTAGCTTGATACGTTTGTGATCACTACCCAGACTTCTGGAGCCACCTTCATCTATGTGCATTCCCCTGAGCTTATCATACATCCTTTGTGACAGTGCATAATCTATCGTCGACTGCAGCCTTCCTACCTCCCATGTGTTTTGCCCTTCACACTTCTCGGTACTGTTGCAAATGATCAAATCAAGCCTTTCACACATATCCATGATCATTTTGTCTGTCGAGTCGGTATACCCATCTATTTCTTCTATGTGCGCATTCATGTCTCCTAGTATAATTATCTCGCACTCTCTTCCTAACTCCTGAATGTCCTTTGATATACACTCTACCATTGCCTGGTTTTCTTCTCTGGCCTTTGTTCCCGTCCACAAGTACACGAAACCGACGAGTGTCATTTGACCTGCCACTTTCCCTTTTAGCCATAAATGTTCCTTGTACTTCTGCTTGACCTTTTGCCAGTCTGTACTTTTATAAATGAATGCCCCAATACCACCCCCCTTTCTGCTGCCTTCTGTTACAATATTCCCACGCGTAGTCCTGATTGTTCGGAGGTTGTTCCATGTCCCTGAGATGTGTTTCTACAAAACCGTATACCATCGGCCTCTCTTCCCTTAGCTGTTCTTCCATCTCTTCCCACTTCAGCCTGTTCCTACCACCCTGCATGTTAATATACCCTATGTCTGAATGGGCTCGGCGCTCGTGGCTACGTCTATTTATTAACCGGACTCTACCTATCTTAGACATTGGTGCCACTTTGGAATCGTATCTGTCCATAACACCTGTCGAAGAGTCTCCCTGGTTGTTTTCCTCGTTACTAGCTCTGCTGCACCCCGAAGGGCTCGCTTGCCCCCCAAAAAGCTACTGCGCGTCCTGCAAGTCGCCAACCCACCTCATGACCTAGTCGCCCATCGAAGTGAATTCTGTTTCGTTGAAAACCACCCCACCTATTCACCTCTCTGTTTATTTCCACCACCTCAAAGCCTTTCTCTCGACTCATCCGCCATATCTCTTGGTTTGCGTTGACAACCGCTCTTTGCAGGTTGCTATCACGCACCGGTACCTCTGGTATCGTGCATATCACTACCTGTACCTTAGGAGAAGTGGCGCGCATGTCATCGACGCCTTTCGCCAGTGTGGCTGCTAGTCCTGCTGTATCTTCATTTAAGACATCGTTTAAGCCACCTGAAATTATCACGAGGTTTCGTCTATCAGCCGTACTTTTGAGTTTTGCGCTCGCTTGCCTCATGACTGCTTCAAGCTTGCGTCCTGGGAATGCCCCTACTGCAACCCTCTTGTCACCTCTTACCCTCTCTTTGATGGCTTGTGTGCATCGATTTATATTCGAGCCCCCGGTGATTATCACATGCTGAGACTTCTCAGCTGGAGCGTCCTGCACCTGGGGGCTACTTGCACCTGTGACGCCGGCTGCTTTGTCACAACCGGCGTGCGCCGACTCTGAGCGACCCCCACGCCGCCGTCGGTCGAAATCGCCCCGGCGCTAAAGTGTTCTAGAAAGGGGTAGTGGGCTGACTGGAGGCCGTGCACTGACGAACTTTATGTCTCACCTGGTAGATGGCGCCACCACCACCTGCAATGGAAGCGACGCGTTGCTGCTCTCGGCCAACGCAGCGCGAAGGTTAGTTTGTCAGCGCTTCAAGCACAAACTACTCGTGTGCAACCCCTGTTCATAGCCATTTTCGTTGCTTTTCTTCTTTTGCCTGAGCATATTCTTGCTTTGGCCGCCATTCTGGCGCATGAAGTATCGCTAAACATGAGCGCGTCATCAGCGGGATGCAATATACGCTGTAAACAGCCAGTTTTGTATTGCGCTCTCGCAGTTTTATTGCCTTTAGATAATTGATTTATGAAACCACTACGGCGTGCTTCTGCCTATGAAGCACGCCGTAGTGGAGGACTCCGGAAATTTTAACGTGCACTGACATCGATTGCCTTTAGATAAAAGAGACTAATGTTTTCATGATCACTAGTTTAATAAGTCGCAGAGTGGCATATAAGTGGTTCACATTTCTCCACCAATATGCTAGCGTTTGTACTCAATAGTAACTTTAGTGAAGTCGTACTCTCACTAAATAAAACAATATTACTACAAACTTAAGCACCTTACGCGCTCTCAGCTGATATATTCTCCTGAAAAGTGCAAGAAAATGTGTGGTAGTGCACAGAAGGATAGACCTATCCTAATCATGCCCAAGAAATAAAAGTGAATTTGTAATGAAGGTGTGGAAAAAATATAGACAACAATCGTTCACGGGAATAAGTTAAAAGTTTATTTGGTGGGGCAGCACAATGACCGTACTCCACAAAAGCCATGCATATCAACCACTTTCATTTTTTTTTCTCAAAGTGAAAGCAGATGGAAAAAGCTGAAATAGCTTGAAGAGGGCCTTGCCCCATTATGTACTTATCAGCGCGTGCGACAAAGAGCATGTCTCCTAAAACAGCCCAATAGATGCTAGAAAAATATTCACAACTACAAATAATCTCAAAGAGGTGCTAAATATTTTCAATGGCACACTTGGCATAAAAAAGTTCACAACAACACATGAACACTCAACACATATTGTTCACACAATAAGTAAAGACACTGAATCAGAAGAAATACTGAAAATGACAAATAATAGACACATTTCCATTCAAATAACATGCATTTTTATAGAGATCTACAGATGTTCTCGTAGATCATATTAATCGCTTTGTTGATGGTACGCCAAGGACCAAAGTCACAATTCACAATTGAATTAAGCAGAGTTGCCACTTAGTCAAGGGTTTATTGCTATAGTATGCGTGGCGAGTAGCAACATACTATTTTGCTTGTTTTTCAAATCTGGCATTCTCTTGTATTTTGGTCAGTGAAACAGAAAAAGAATATTCAGAAAGGATTCATACATCAAGTTTAACCTACACTTGTAAAATACACAGGAACAATATTAAATTTTTAAAAATCTTCTAAAGCAAGGAAAAAATATTTAACAGCAGCGGCTTATCTTTAAGTGCTTTGCTTTCTGGCGTTCGCCTGCTCTGTCTGTATTTAGCCCCTTAATGTAAAAATGAAGTCGTGTAACAACATAGAATTGTATTATTTTTTGAGAGAGCATTGAGACATGGCTTGGGCACCCAACCTCTTGCCAAAGCCTTGCTTTCACAATGGTCAGCGCATCTAAAATGCTGTCTGCATGGAGTTGTTCACAAGAAAAGCAGCCCGTGAACAAGTCTTCAAGCTTCTTTATGAACCGAAATAGGCAAGCACTTGGGTAGAGGAGTCCACCGTTGTCACGAAATAGTGTCAACCTTGCAAGCTGAAAGCTTTCGTCTGGGGCAGGCGCGGTAAGTAGTATCAAACAATCTTTACAATTGCTTTTCAAAATGCACTTTCGTGCCACGTTGCCAGCAATGTAAAATATAATTCTCGAGTCGCTCCTCGCAACATGCTGGCTGTGGTCCTGGGAAGGTATAACCAACGCCTGCGCATTCGGAGAAGAGCTCGGTGCCAAATCCATGCCTGCTGCATTTTGCGATGTGTCTCGTGGGCTACTAACTTCCAGAAGGGAACCTAGCATGCCCTCTTTGCAGTTTCTTTGACTGACACCTTTAACTAAACCATAGAATGACATGCAGTTTACTGTAATCAAAAACTGAGTTGGTGTTGGATGATCATTACTGCCAGAAGATTGCCTGATAATACCGAAAAGGTTTTCCAAAGGATCCTGGCTAGTTTTTGCAGTCATTAGGTATTTAAAGCCAACATTTTCAGTGAGATAGTCAAGCAACTCTAGTGTACTCGAAATGGTCACACGTAGGCCAGCAGCAGTGGTATTGCTCAGAAAGCCCCCTCCACCTTTCGTATGCTGCTCCCATGCTTTGAGGTAGGACAGAAAATCCTGCAGCACTGCTGTTCCTGATGAACACGGTCTGAGGGCTTCAGCAGGGAACCGCGATGTCATCACTCTTATGAGCTGGTGGATTTTGCTGAAATATGCAAAACAGCTGTTTTCATAATTTTGTAGTTTACATTGCATGATGCATTCTTCATAGTTATGAATGGCGCAAAACATGCGAGGCACAAAATGACGAAAAACACAAGGACGTCATTTTGTGTCTCGTGTGTTTTGCGCCGTTCATAACTATGAACCAAAACCAACTCGCCCAAATATCGGTGCTAATGATGCATTCTATTAAGATATAATTTTCATTTACAAGTAGGTTATATCAGACATTTCACTACCTAATTTTACCTAGCATACGACAAGAGACGACTCACCTGAAGAACTCTTGTGTTACATCCATCCTTCCAAGTGTTGCTTCCAACTTGTCTTTGTATAGGTGGAAAGCTTGGAGGACTTTTGTCCCAAAAAGCTGGAAGGCATAGCTGACCCTCATCTTCTCAAATCCATTAGGATCCAGGTGACACCATGTTATGCCCGGCATCACTTTAAGGGTCACGTTGGAGGAGTCTATTTTGTGAGCTTCCCTTACATGTTGCATATCAACCTGCAATGAAATTAAGTGGACCATATTGAAATGCACCTGGTTAAGCTTGGAGATAATGTAAGCATATATGAAATCCAATGTGTGATACGCGTAAAAACATCAGACTTACATGACCTGCAGGGGTGTTGAATCCAGACTTCAGCAGCGAGTTTCGTAGGCATTTGATGAGATGTGGGAAGTCAGATATAAAATATAGGTGCCGTGATGCATCACTGGTGTGCTCAATTTTCGAAGTAGTAGAGTCAGCTGTCGCTTGGATCCCAAGTACTTTCCACATATTTCTATTCCAACTTGCACCATCACAAGTAATAAAATCCACAAAGAGCCCACTCTTTTCAGCTAGTATGGTTGCTTCAATGACAACTTTGGCGAGTGTGTCACCTTTCATGTTTCCATGTGTAGCAAAGTAACCAATAACTTGACTCCATTTGCCTTGAAATGGGACGAAAAGGATTACCATACCGTGGTCACATGGTGCACCTTTGTCCTTGGAAGTTGTAAATGGACCTAAATCCACAAAACCCTCAATTGCACCCGACTTCTTCACTGAAAAATGTTCTGACAGTTTCAGTTCGTCGATGACCAATCCACCGTGTTTCTTCCAAACATCAAGCTCCGCTGTCTTTTCCTTTAGCTGCTTTAGAACTCTCTCACTAAAGCCAAACACAGTGCGGTATGCATGTACATAGCGCTTCAGGGTTGATTTACATGGAAGGGCTAGGATGTTATTGCGACGAAGGTGTTCATACAGGCGAGGGCTCTTCATCTTCATGTATAAACAATCGAAAACCCAGCTTTTTCGTATATCGCAACCCATTGGGTTTTACTCTTGAAGCTGCAAAGCACTGTCGTACAGCTTCCTGCTGTCTTGGTGGAAGCCTTGCAATCTGTGCTTCTAAAGTTTCTGTTTTTATAGCAGCATTCCTAATTTGCATTTGTTCCAGCTTCTTTTTCACACTTTTCAAGCGAGAAAACAATCTAGTGTTTCGTTTGGCCACAGCACGCAACTTCAGCGCTGGGTATTGGCAATTCCTTGTTGCTGTTCGCTTCACCCGGGCTCGTCGGATTTGCAGTGCTCGTTTCAAATAGCGGCAAGACACACATTGTGCACCTGAAAGAAAGGTGCAGTGAATTAGCTTGCAATAACTGGCAAGAAATCTTTCGTAGCGACAACCGTTATAACTGTCATACTAGTAAAAATGCACATTATAAATACCTTTGTTATCAACCGGGCCAAGACACTTAATGCTGAAGTACATTTCGTTGCATGTAACCACACGGTACTTCAGCTTCTTCGTAAAAAATCGTTCTTCATAGTATTCGTGAGATATTGCTCCAACGCAAATGCACATACGATCACTTGTTTTCAGCACTTCTTCTGCTACTGCCTCTGTTTCCACGGTGCCTTCTTTCAACAGGATACCTCTGATGAACACTTTGCAGTAGCTCGCAATGCGTGACTCAAAAAACATGACCACTTTTTCCGATCGTACTTCATTCTTCGGTGTCAACACGGACGTGCAGTACACAATGCCTTTGTGATCTGGAAAGATGTGCTTAGTCCAGTGCGGCGATGGTACCTCAAGACAGCTAAACAACGACATAGACCTGCGGTCTTCCTGCGGATTTTCTGAAGAAGAAACTTCTACATCGATGGCCAGCTGTTCGTCTTCTGGCCACGATGCTGCAGCGTCTGGGTCCGGAGTATTTACGGCGTTTGTGTGCAACACCGTCGAGTTGCCACTCGTGCACAGCCGGCGCTTCACTGGCGAAGCATGACTCTCAGACTTTGTTTTTCGAGGTGGCCTTTCTTTCACTGTTTTTTTGGTGAGATACGATGGCAAATTTGGCAAAATAGTGGGAACAGCGTCACTGCTCAACATAGGCCTCCCGCGTGGGATCCGCACTTCTTTACCGCCGATGGTGTGTACATAATCGCGAATTACGTACCGAGGCTTGAAGTGGAGTTCACAAACCGCACTTGTGTCTTCGAGTGGCTTGTCCGCACGGTGTAAATTATTCTCCCACAGTCTTCTGAGTCTCTCATCCCTGGGGACGACGAACAGTGACGGTTTTGGAGCACCTTTCACGTGAACGTAGCCCGTCTGGCATCCGGGCGCATAACAATGGTTCTGGCGACGTGGTGCCATTCCGCACTAAGTGTCGATGACCGCGAGGTGTTCACTACCAATCTACATTATTCACAACTATAAGAACTGAAAAATGGAACGTATTGACAAAGCACTGCTCGGCCGTAAACCTGCAGCGACGACGACACACAGTCAACACAGAAGCGGAGTGAAAAGGTGAAAACTCCCATTGCTGACGATGGTAGCGCCGCCACGCGGGCACTCAAGGAAACGAAAACTCGTGTCATTTTTTGCGCCACGGCAACGTACCCTCTCCCCGTAGAGTGGGCTCACTACCCATTATTCTAGAACACTATACCGGCGCACACCTCTAGCTGCTGCTCGGGTGGCTATAATTGAAAGTTGTGAAAACCGGCCGTTCCAAATATCATCCAAATCACACTTTCATTCATCTCATTCATCAGTGAAAATCACAATTTTCATTCAAATATCACTAATGACACTACACAGATGTGTCGACATCACGATGAATTCTAAGCGTTTTGCAAAATAATGTTTATTTCGCTTTCGTAATAAAATACGCGTATTTCAATATGTCCATGTTCTACCACGAATGTGCAGCACTTTGCTTGTTTTTTTAATTTAGGATGCAGCAGTTTATTTCTGTTGTTGGCTACGTCATACTTCATGAAACCTTCTTTCATTGAGCAAGCCCACCACACGTCACTCAGTTCGATTTTTCCGAATCGGATCTCACTTTTATATTGTATGTACGCGCCACGAAAAAAGAAGCACCTCTGCTACGAGTTTTCTTATTGCGATTGCAGGAAACCGCTCTTTTGAGTATCTGTCATGCCTTGGATTTTACTTTCCTTCAAACAAATCGATATACCTACTTTTCACAAATGAGAATGTTTTATGTAGTGGTATAAGATGCGGAAGAAAACAAATCTGTGCAATTAGTCAACTAGTCCTCACCGCAGTGTTCAATGAATGAAGTGTAGATATGGGCGTGGGTGAGGCGGGTGGTGCAAAAGGGGCACTTGACCCCTTCAAGCCGCACCAGCACTTGCCACCCACTCTAGCGACACCAACATGACCCCCTCCCTCAGCCATGATGCAAGTTGAAAGAAGGATTTGCTTACCCCCAAGACAAAAACCTGTCGATGGCCATATGTGCAGATGAGAGCAAATGCAATATTTGCTCAGATACACAGTCCACACTGGTCATGACCTGGAGGCCCGTTGACCACGCCTGCAGAGAACGTTGACTCCCCGACCCCTTTGTACTCGGTGAGGGGAGGGGAACGCCCCTTGCAAGTGGGCCCCATTAAAAACTCTCTTAAAAACGTCACAAATAAGAATGCTTGATAAGTATGTATAAAACATTCAACTTTTTAATGCTTTTGGTAGCGTGCACACGTGCTGAATATCCATCAGGTGCGTGAGACAATTGAAATCGCAACTACCACTCTCGACTGGTTCCGAAAAGACTCAATGCAACTACGAGTTGAAGAATGCAACTACGAGTGCTGGGGACCTACGTTTGTTTGTCAATTTGATTTCTAGGCATGATTTTAATTCTTATATAAACAAAAATAAAACCTGCAAAATATTAAAACAATATGGCTGCTATTTCAAGATGTGTGTACCCCTTCGTGATTTTTCTAGACTTACGCGTCTGCAAGCCACATCTAGCTGGTGTCACAAACTTGCAAGTGCCCCCCATCTTCCCCACGACATCTCCCAATACGCCCCTTCCCAATAAAAAGGCACCAATGTAGTCCTCCGTAGGCCTCCGTGATTGCCTACTGGCGCACGGCGGGCCATTTCGGTTGCTAGGACCAACAGTACCGATTTCGACATGCTTTATTGAAGGTGCTGAAGGATCATGAAAACGCCGATTGTTGTAAATTTCTTGAGAGTTCAATGATAGCTTCTTTGTGAATACCGTATATTATTGAACCTCACTTTGTGTATAATGCTCCAATAAAAAAAATATGGTTTCACCCTGGGTCACTGCAGAGTCAGAAGCCATTACATGGGCAGGCATCATTAAGCCTCTATATAACATTGCTAATTTTCAGCACATTTGTACGAAAAATTCTCGTTAATTGAACATTGGGTTTATTTCTTGCTTGGGTTAGTATGTGTGAAACATAAATTTGAAATTTAAAAATTCTCATTGTGGGTTTCTGCAGCAAAGACAGATTGATTAAAACTGATGATTCCGGAGCTACGGCAGAGGTAACATTCGTTATGTTTTTTCGGTTAAGATAATGGTAATGCGTTACCTTTTTTATGTATATATATAACGTGGAGCCGTGAAACGTTTCCTTTTTTATTAGAGTAACGAGTAACGTATTTAGTTACTTTTTACTGTAAAGGATACAACCCTAAATATATAAACTTACAGGAGTGATGTCGGCCCACACCGTCAGTTGTGGTTGCGGTCTATAGGCTGGCTGACAACATTACATAGATATATTTCTTTCATCCAGCACGTGATAGTGAAGGTTCGCTCGACCTTTGATGATCTCGACCTTTGAGGAATACACAACAGCTTTTTAATAATATTGCCGCATGAATTCGCGTGGTTTTCGTGTGGAAGAGGACGAAGAGGTTGGGATTGAGCCGCTGATGAAGTACCCTCTCCATCGTAGTGGCTTCGGTCAGGAATTCTGCTACACTCTTCGGAGGACTCCGCACTAGACCAGCAAAAAGCTGCTCCTTCACGCCTCGCATCAGATAGCGTAGCTTTTTTTCTTCTGGCATTGCCGGATCCGCTCGCCTGAAAAGCTGCGTCATGTCCTCCACGTACATGGTGACGGTCTCATTAGGCATCTGGATGCGTGAATGCAATGCACGTTCAGCACGATCGCGGCGGTCGGGGCTCCGGTAGGTCTCCAAGAGGCGATGCTGGAACTCGCGCCAGGATGTCAAGACATCACTTCTGTTCATGAACCACGTTCGGGCGCCGTCTTTCAAACACGCGTAGACGTTGCGGAGTTTGGCGGCTTCGTCCCAGTAGTTGATCGCTGCGACGTGTTCGAACTCGCTCAGCCAGTCGTCCACATCCTCAAACAGCTCTCCGTGAAAGGGACTAGGCATCAGCGGGTTCTGGACAGTGCAATAAATTGGTGCCGACGACGTAGGAGTTTCCATGACGCCTTGAGGCGAAGTCATA